TCTGCACCAATGCTTTCACTGACATTTCAATGTAATTTATACCAGAATCACTGAAAAAAACTCTTAAGTATGCTTTCTAAATATATCTTCTCTTTCTTAACAAAGCTAAGACATCGTTCATAGTTGTTAATAAATGGTGTTATTTATGTCAAACAACTAAAACATGTTTCAATTACTTAAAGACAAGTCTTTTTACAGTTCACTGAGATTGAAAAATGTTCACATTCTTTCACTGATACACCAACTCCTTTGTTCATCTAACAAAGATGGCAGACACAAACAGATTCCTATAAGGTTCAGTTTGTTTTTAAAATTTAAAAGTATTTCAAAGAGAATCCCTTCCTACTCCTAATGCAGTACTCCTTACAACTTTTAAGTTGTATTTAAGTAGTATCGGGGATATATCAACAGTGTTTTCTCCTTGAATTATCTCAATTGAAGACATTTCCCAAATGAATGTATAGTTTATATGAAATAAAAAACAAGCTGAAGTAGTTTCAGTCTCTCAGTCTGACAAGAAATTTGAAACCCAGATCAAGTTTGTTTAAGAGGTAACAGGAAGATATAGATAAATAACTCTAAATCAAAGTGAACGAATCTAGTACTTCCTGCATTTTGCGGCGCATTTATCAACAGAAGTCAATTACTTAACTATCGATAGTAGTGGTGGTCCAATTAATTGTAATAATTGAAGATTGGTCGCAGTGCCTAAACGACCAAGCAATCGAACATGTTTTCTCATATTGAACACAAACAATTTTGGAACACTTGTTTGCATTAACAATATTTTTTACAAGTTGGTTTTGTCTGTTACATTTCATGAGCACTACAAGCTCGTTCCAAGTCATGATTGAATTTATCTTAAAGACTCCATGAAATTTATGTTCCTAACATACTAGTGATCCTTTAAAGATGTGAAATTTGCAGATGCATTTTGTGCAGTTTGAAAAAAAATTACCCAAGGACTACATGGATTTTTTCTTCTTTATTTTATTGTCCATTAACAAACAAAACCAGGAAAATTTGACAAATGACGTTAACCAATTATTTTCGATGATTGATCGGTTGTGATGGACCAATCATCAATTATGAGTTTTTAACCAATTCCCAACACTAATCGATAGTCACACATACAATCGATGCATCAATAGTTTTTCGTTTCTTCGATTCGATTAATTGCTATTGGAGACTCAACAATTGCAATCAATCCATAGTTTGATGCATCGTTACAGCCCTAATGGTAACAGATTAGTAATAATAGCATGCAGGGCTCGATTTAGTACTTTGTTACTTGCACTGGTGCAACCCAATACTACAAAGTGCAACCTAGTTATTTGTCTAACTTGCAGCAGGTGCAAGAAAAAAATTGAGAAATAAATCAACAATAAATCTAACATTATAAGCATAATTATGTCAGCTCATTTTTCTTCTAAACTTTGAATAATTCAATAGTAAATTTCTTTCATTACATATTGCAATAAGAGAAGTGCAGCTGGAATTTGGCTGGTGCAACTTGGTTTTTTATCTCCTGGTAGGTTGCACCTGGTGGGATGACCCAGTCAATCATGACTTATCATCTCTTAAGTGACTGAGCCCTGGTGTGGATGAAGCAACATCACGCGGGGAGTTGGGCTTCATGATCCAGTCAATCATGACTTTACCACCAATTCCCAATGCTACAAATTACAACTAACTGAACAGTCTTTGGGGAGCAACAGGAACAAGTCAATAATTATTTTGCTGGCGAAAAATGGCACCTGGACATGATTTTAACACATTTTGACAGCACATTCTACTGTATCATTGCCACATTTGAATATAGTTTTTAGGACTATTTAGAAAATAATCTGTCAAAAACTGGGAAAATCAACTGATGGAAAATGTTGTCTGACCAAAACTGCGGAACACGGAAAGTAATCAAATGTAACACGTGTTATTAGGAGCCTGACTTGGAGAGTGTGGGTTTGAATCCCAGATGGGATTCTACCTAACAAAAGTACTAGAATATGTACTTTACTGAGAAAGTGTAATCCCAAATATAACATGTGTTTCATGAATAACAGCTGAATACAATTTAACACAAAACTATTTGGAAGCAAGACCAGAATTTGTTAACATTTTCCATGCCTATAAACAAGTGTGATCTCACTGTCCTAAACTGCAATGAGTTTGAATATTTCCTGGGTCTGTCAGTCAGAGTAATCCACAGTTATGTCATGAGAAAACTGTGGTGCAAAACTGATCAAGAAAAAAAAATGACTGACATTTGTGTTTACAATTTCCTCAACATTATTTAGTTCTTTCAAAAATTTATATTTTGAAGCAATATATGTATAATCATGTACAGTCCCTGAAGTCAAGAGACTTGCATCTTGTAACAAAATGTGAGTTATGTTTGACATTGTTTTCATCAGTATTACATCACAGCATAACTAAGTGAGTGAGTGAATTTAGTTTTACGCAGCTTTTAGCAATATTCAAGCAATATCACGGCGGGGGACACCAGAAATGGGTTTCACACATTGTACCCATCATGTGGGAAATCGAACCCGGGTCTTCGGCGTGACGAGTGAATGCTTAACCACTTGGCTACCCCACCGCCCCAGCATAACTAAGACTAAGAAAAGAGGTTGTCTTAAAATTCACAATAAACTCAACATATATTGGAACAGTGTTTGCCTCCCAGCCAAATGAAAAGGACTGGATTGGGATTGTATCATTCCGGAAATGTTGGCCTGACGGACTGGTTCAAAATTCTTGTTAAAATAATACATGTTTATTCCTATATATCAAGTCAGTATAGGCCTCATTTAATGTCAAAGTGTTTTGTTATTTTGCTTTCATGTCCAAGTCTATCAGAAACCCATGTAGATCTGTATACTGATTGTGACTGATATATATGAGAGAGTTCAGTTTTACGCCTCACTCAGCAATATCCCAGCTATATGGTGGCAGTCTGTAAATAATCAAGTCTGAACCAGACAATCCAGTGATCAACACCATGAGCATCGATCTACCATGAACAAGGGTCTGTGTGATAGGTTTGAAAGTCTAAGAATTTGATCTAATTTTAGATAAATGGACTTGTAGCTGCCATATAATATCAAACTCTTGTGACAGATTCGAACCAGAAACCTTCTGACGCCTTGTCAACATGACCGAGCAAGCTGACAAGGTAAGAATGCTACATGAACATTGTCACAGGCAGTTAAGTTCCCTCATCATTGTTAAGCACAATACTCTTAGAAAACACAAAATACATTCAGGTTAACACAAAATATGAAAACTGAAATCGCAAAGTAAGGCATATTAAACATAATGAAGGCTTCAACATTTTTTGTTTTCAGGCACTGTAGTCTGTGAACTTCAGAAATTACTTCATATACTGCATCAGAATCTGGCTTAACTCCTAAATTGATGAGGGATGCCAAAGCTTTAAAGATATTACTATTTCTCATTAAATTCTTCAAAAGCATTTAGAAGTTGGTGTAGTAATATAGGACAAATCTTATGGATAACAACTTCTTGATTTATTTTTCACAACGTTTCTGGGCTAGTTCTTGCCCCTTCTTCACCTAAATAAATCAAGAATAAATCAAACAGTTGTTATCCTTAAGATTTGTCCTGTATTATTTCTCATTAATATTTACTTACATAGCCAATTATCTATTACCTGAGCAGCACCAGCACCAAAACCATTTATTATTTTAAAAGTACATTGATACAAACATAATGAATGTATGTTACCATTTATATAACTATATACTGTCTATAACCCTATCTTTCTTGATGCGAATTTACACTTCTGAGGTACCAAAATGGGATAAAATGAGGGAAAATGTATGATTTGAATTCCTAAAGAGAGTAATGGAACTGAAATGTTAACTGTTAATCAAACATTTTCTTGCATTGCTGATACATTCACTTTGAAATGTCAACTGCTGGAGAATCAAAATCAGCCAAAATGACAACATATCAAACCAACCATGACAAAACATGATGTGAACTAATATCATGTCTGATCATGCTGACAAACATTGTAGTTGTTGTTCAACATATTTCCTTTCACTTTTATGAATGTAAATCTTCTGAAAATAAATCCACATTTGGTCTCAAGTTGTGTTTTAGATATGACATAAAGAACCTGTTGTTATTATTGACAATGTAAGACATGTAACTGTAAGACAATGGACATAATCACTGCCATTGTCACTGTGCTGTTCGTGTATTTGGCAAATGTAAGTCGTGAAGGTGTGGGTATGTTTCAAATGTAAAATATTGATGTCTTACCTTCTCTCACTGTGACCATGCTTTCAAAGTACTGGCATCCAAATTCGAACACATCCTTTGGCTGAGCTCGAAGCACTTCTCGTGCGAGTCCTTCCAAAATATTTTGGAAGCCTTTTGGCACTCTAAGTTTGGTGTTAGAAAACGGAACGGCCATTTCTGACGATGGATATCGTGTAGATGTGCTGAAATTTATGATGAACTAGAGATAACAGTTATCGCTATGATCCAGCAGGCAAAACTTAGTTTGAAAAGTTACCACGCTTTGGGTACACAGCCTCGTATCTTGGCAACGGGGTGAAGGACGATATCTTCTTCCGGCGTATGGCAGACCCGAAGCAACTACTTGTTGATATAATTATTAGTCGATAAGTTATTAATCTGATGTCAAAGAACTTTCAAATGATAAAATATCTATAATTATATATGTATTCGTGTAAGGGGCGACACGAAAGAAGCCAAATTATTTATATAGCCGGTTTACAATCTTGCTTTTTATAATTTATTTAGAGTTTCGTTTTCGTCTATTTTTCAAACATTTTGCATTTTGAAAAATATATAATGAGATCAGAATTTTAAGCACCTGTTTACAAAATGCTTGCCTCAATTTCAAACTGTATCATGAGATTCTTACCGAGAAATGCCCAAAACAATGACAGTAAATCCCCGTAGCTTTTGGCAGCAGACGATCAATAAATTCAGTGCGAAGCTTCAAGATGTCAGCCTCCAGTAATGAGCATAAACAGAATGCGTCAAAACTCGTTGGCACTGATTCAAGAACTTGTTCCATGTATGTTATCGATTTCACACATTGTTAAGTAAAACATAAAGTCTACTTCCACCAACATCAAATCAGTTTTGAAGGTTTAGCTGGTGCGGGCATTAGTTTTTTCCGATCACTGATTTGAAAACGTTGAAGAAACGTTGGGTTACAGTTGGTATAACCGGGTGTTTTCAAACAAACAAATTCTAATTTAGTTACACAGTGTCCAAAATTAATCTTAAAAATATGAGGTAATGGAGATGATAGATGAAACAGGTCTCAAGTTAAACTATCAATAGTGCTGAAGAGGCCGCCGGCACTGGGTCCAGACAATTCCCCACACAGACAATTCCCCTCTCAGACAATTCCCCACTTGGACAATTCCCCGCACATTAAAAAGTATAAATAACAACTAAAGTGATATTGACTTTTTATATTATATATTTATTCATTCTATCCTTAACAATAATTAGTATCAGTATGTCCAGTTTAATTGTCAGTATCAGACATTATTATTATATCTTTCACATTCTGTAATAAATACATAGAGGCATAGTATCCGACACACAGGTGATAACAATGATTACATTTGCACATTCTTTCATTCAACCAACATGAATGTTCTTTCAAATGGATATCAGGAACTGATCCATGGATTTCTGTCCAGCACTAGATGGTTCTTGAGGTGATCTAAATAAAAGACTAATTACAAAAACAACATAACATCCTCCTTTGCTCCAGATGGTTAAAAAAAACAAAAACATAATTGCTAAGAATAGAGCTCACCTCAATTTAAAGTAATTAGAAAAACAACAGTAATCGTCTTGTAACTACTTCTCCAGAACTCAACAACACAAATCATAAAAAACTAGGGTGTGGGAAATTGACCCTCAGGTGATGGGGAATTGTTTTTGGGGGGAATTGTCATGTAGGGAAATGTCCTACACCCTGCCAGCACGGGTACCGCATATACATTTCTGTATACAGAAACGCACCCTAGCCCAAATCAGAGTACAGAAATATACCATTCTGCATTGTGTTATTACTTAATGAGAACTGTCATACTGTTGTATTAGATGCATTTGATTGTGTTATATAAGAAACAAGCATCACAGAGACAAGATCACTTTCTATGTATGTTGAGATATTCGTGGGGACCTTATTTCAGTATCATGATGATGACAAACCAAGGGATGTTCATGTTTAACTAACCTGTGAAAATCCGGGTTAGAATTGAACTTCAGTAACCCATCCTTGTCGTAAGAGGCGACTAACGGGATCGGGTGGTCAGGCTGGCTGACTGGGTTGACACATGTCATCTTATCCCAATTGTGTAGATCGATGTTCATACTGTTGATCCCTGGATCGTCTGGTCCAGACTCGATTACTAATAGACCACTGCCATATAGCTGGAATATTGCTGAGTGTGGCATAAAACTAAACTCACTCACTCACTCATGTTTAACTTGATGCATCATTTGTGTTTCCAGTTGTGTAGGCCAGGAGGCTCGGTACACATGTCCCCGCTGTAACATCCCCTATTGTTCCCTGGCCTGCTACCGGCATGAGAAACATGGCAGCTGCTCCGAGGCCTTCTACAAGGACTGGGTCATCGATGAACTGTCACACAACACTGCTGGGTAAGAAGCAGCAGCTGCCCTCAGAAAACCTTCTTGTGAAAAGTGTCCCCCCTAATGATTTATCCCCATATACATGCTCACTCTGCTCCTCTCCCTTGCTCTACTCTCTACTCCACTCCACTCCACGACATGACACTACTGCACAACTCTACTACTCTACATGACACACCACAACAAGACACTACTATGCTACACTTCCTGATGCCTGGAGTGGAGTACTGATGATGGAGTGATGATGTAAATAAAACTGCTGAATAAAATGTGGCCTCCTAATTTACGCTAATTTTATCTGTGCAGGATGGAGGATCGTGAGAAGATTCTGGAGATCCTACAGAGAGAGCAGGAGGCGAGGGACGAGGATGATGTTGATAGTGATGATGAGGAAGAAGGTTAGGGTGCATCTCTAGCTAGAGTTGCAAAGTTACACTTAAAAGCGTTATGTTACACTTCAGAATACTACATGAATTGCTAGCTTGTTATTGTATTTGTTACCCAGGGTTCAATTCACGACATACATACCATTCTCTTCCCACAGAGGTTACTTGTCATATCTTCCTACTGAACCTCTGTTCTAATTGTATTTCCGGTTCTCGTAAAATCCCTAGCAAAAGATCGCAACATGAATTAACTCCTTCTTTCTATCCAATCAGAACCGCGTGTTACATCGACTTATTCAACTTGACTAACACAAGATGTGGGGCCACATATCCCCATCTGCGGGGACTTGTGTTGATGTTACACCCATTTAATGGCTAGCTTGTCCGTTGTCAATGAGAGGCGATGGAGACGCACTGATCCTAACATGACTGAGTTCTGTCTAGAAGAAGCGTTTGGTGTTGCAGGGGAAGAAGTTTAGTTTTCTCGAGGCATACAGAAATTACCCTTCGCGAATGATCACTTTTGAAACAACGTAAGCTGATTGCATAAATCTGATTGCCTCAATCCACGAGTCTTGATACACCATGAAAGGGCCGTATTAGAACAGAGGTTACGTAGGAAGATATGACAGGAGTAACCTCTGTGGGAAGAGAATGCATAGATACATGTGAAGTCAATTTCTGGTGTCTCCTGCTCTGGTGGTGCTTAAGGGTCCAAGAACCTTATTCACTCAATCCAGGATAAATGTTTGACCTTAAGGCTACTATTTCCTTTCAGATGCTGATGATCCAGGCTTGGAGGAACGACTGGAGGGACTTGACCTAGGTCAGTATAAGAATGTATAACTCATGATTGTCTGTGGTTGGAATCTTGTGAAAAATAGTCTGTTTCAGACAGCTTGGCAGCATGCTGACAGTGTTGAATGTCTTTGGTCATGTGGACAAGGATCTCAGATTAGGAGGTCCATGGTTTGAGTCCAAGCAGAGGAGCTGGAAGTTTTGTCTATAATAGTTTTGTTGTGGTAGTTTGTGGTTTTCTGCATAGAACCCAGGTCACAAATCAGTTGAAGTTGAGCAACATTGGTCACAGAGAAACCTTGGATGGGTGACATTGTTTGGCAGCCTGACTCCTTAGTCCTGCCCAACAATGAGGCACCCTGTTTGTTTGTTCTCTGTTCACCCAGCCTGGGTGAACCTGGTGAACCTGGTGAGATAAGTCTTGTGACTGTTAACCCTTACAGGCAGCATGGATAAACTTTGGTAATAATTTTCTCATGCTTTGAGCATGCACAAGTGCTGGATACAGGCGGTTTATAAATGTCCAGGAGTTGTAAATGTAATTATGTCTATAATGGTCTGATGAGATTTCCTTGTATTCAGATGCTGATGCGGGTGACGTGTGGCGGAGGCTGACGGAAAAGGAGAAACAGGAGTTCAGCCAGATGCTGGAGGATGGACGTCTCGCCAACCTTGTGGAGGTGTGGACACCATGGTGGGTCAAAGTCAAGGTCAGTCATCAAATAGTATCGTGAACGTTGCCTCACAAAGTTTCCAGTTATTATATTCATGTGCTTATGGGAAGACCATGGAAGGTCAAGTTCAGTCATCAAATAATGTATTGGGCAAATATGGTTTTATGCTGCGTTTTGCAATATTCCAACAATGTCGTGTCAGGGGACACCAGAAATGGGCTTTACACTGTACCCATGTGGAAAATCGAATGCGGATGTTCAGTGTGACGGGTGAAGGCTTTAACCACTGGACCACCCCACCACCCAAACAATATAGTGAACATTGCATCACAGAGTTTCCAGTCAGTGTGTTCCTGTGCTTCTGAGTAACTTGGGCGGTGGGGTAGCCTAGTGGTTAAAGCGTTGGGTCATCACGCCGAAGACCCGGGTTCGAATCCCCACATGGGTACAATGTGTGAAGCCCATTTGTGGTGTCCCCCGCCGTGATGTTGCTGGAATATTGCTAAAAGCGGCGTAAAACCAAACTCAGTCAGTCAGTCAGTCTGAGCAATGTCATTGTCACTTACTCAGAATGTTTGGTTCAAAATATATTTGATTTGAATGTTTTGGAGATCTGTTGGACCATTCCATAAAATTATGGTAATCATAAGACGTAGCACCAAGATCTCTGAAGCTGAGGGTTTGGCTTTTCTCCAGAGGTGTTCCAAGTTAATTCTCACTGCTCAGTTGATAATGAGTTATACAGACAAACACGGTTAAGTCAAACTGTTAGTTTGGTATTGAAGTTTAGTTTTACGCCGCTTTTAGTAATATTCCAAGCAATATGGTTGAGCGTGGTCCTCTGCTCAAAGCTCAGGTCACAAATCGGTGAAGTTAAGCAACGTCGAACTCGGAGTGACCGTGTTTGGCAGCTTGACTCCTGAGAGTTTCTAGGACTTGAGTCCTGCCCCACAACAAAGCACATGTAACACATGTGGTCTCACCTTAGGCAAGTGAGTTTGTTCAAAATTGTCTCTGTTCACCCAGCAGGAAAATGGGTACCCGTGGAAAAAGTAATATGACTATAACCTTCTAGCACCTAACAGTCTTGAAGTAAAATCTCGGTTTGGTTTGTTTGTTTGTTTGTTGTTTAACAACAATATATAAGCCATATTGTGGCGGTCTGTACATAATTGAGTCTGGACCAAACAGTTCAGTAATGAAACATCATGAACACCGATCTACGCTGTTCAGACACAATGACATATGTGAACCAAGTTTGCCTGTAACCCATGAAGTTTGTTGCTGGAGTCGTGCACTCCCTGACTTTGTATACTAGTAACTATATTTTCTCACTTTGAAAATTTGTAACTCTTTGTTGCCAAAATGTATCCAGCCCTAACATGGAGTTGTGTACTCCCTGTCTTTGTATACCTATCTGAAATGAATAAAAATATTGAAAAAAAAGGAAAAAGTTTGCGAGCCTCTTACAACAAGGATGGGCTGCTGAAAACCAATTCTAACTATGGTATAGACCTATGACAATAGATTTGAATTCCCAAATTGCCCATGTCATGTTTCCAGGTTTGTTAGCATGTAAAGCTAACAAGGTATGACTTCAGTACTGTTCAAAGGTTTGTAAACTAAACTCACTCACACTAATATCAGGCAGTTGGGAGCCTAGTGGTTAATGTGTTTGTTTGTCACACTGAAGACCCTGGTTCGATTCCCCACATGGGTACAATGTGTAAAGCCCATTTCTGGTGTCCCCCCGCCATGATACTCCTGAAATATTGCTAAAAGCGGTGGAAAACCAAACCCACTCACTCACTCGTACTAAATATGTCCTGTTCACAGCCATCATCTGAGACAGAAGAGGAAGTTGATAAACTGGAGCATGATGGGAAGAGTCAGCCGCAGATACTCAGTGATATCCCTGATATCAACATCCTTCTTAAAGTAAGCAGCACCATGCATGATAAGTATTTTATGTCAGGACTTAGTTTTTTACATCTTTCCTTTGATCGGGGACTGTGCCCATTGTCGAGTGGAAGCAGCATTTGTTCTGAGAGGAGAAAGTCAGGGGTTTGATTCCAAGACTTGCTGTGTCAAAGGTTGGACAACTTACACTTGTCAGAGGCATACACAAAGTCTGTGATTCTAGAATCTGTATTTTACTGGGAATGTGTAATCCCAAATCAGGGGCGTAGCTACCATTATTAAAAAGAGCCTTGGCTTACACATGATATTTGCTAAAGATCACCATGAAAGTTGGGCAAGACCTCCATACTATGTAAATATAAAGTTTTGTAGGAAACGCTTACACCAAAAAAATTGGCTTGCTACGCGCCTGCAAATATAACGTTTCATATACTACCCAGCAAAAGTTTAGACTCACTTAAAGCATTCACTATGTGTTATGAATATGAATTGCACGAGGATCATGTATCAAATTGCTGAAAAGCATGTGCAAATATCGTGCATGTGGACAGCTGCGTTTTGGTGTAAAGTTTCTTAAGAATTCGTCAATTTTCACTGAGTTTCATCATTTACTGAACTCATGACAATAATGTGTTCAACGTTACGAATTTGTTTTACAATACATCGGTTCATGTGTAAACAGTACCTTTAAACAGTATGGAATATTTTGCAAAATCTAGTTTAGGACAGCTGACTGAAGTAAGTGGCTACATTAACACTAGTGAGTCTATGACACTTTCTAAATAGTCCATGATCTAGACCACAAGTTGTCCAACTTCCATCTTTGTGGAAGGCAGGCTGGCTGAGTGGGTTAGATGTCTGACTTTGTGAGCTGACGATTATGTGCCTGACTCAGAGTGTGTGGGTTCAAATCCCAGCTGGGACTCAACCCAACAAAAGGACGAGAATCTGTATTTTATTGAGAAAGTGTCATCCCAAATATAACGTGTTTTATTCATGTCATGCATAAAAGCGATGTCCTGTAATACTTCCAGAAAAGCAAGCCATCATCTGACCTGCGCTTCTGCCTGGTGAATGTGCTATATTCCTATGCATTTATAACTCGGCTACACAACGGCAACCATCTGGAATCACCTCTTGAATCAGCACAGGTTTGTCAAGGTTTACTTCTAAAAGGAGGTTTCAATTATTTGGATGGCGTATTGGAAGTTTCCAGTGAAATCACATACTCAAGGGGCATTGGGGTAGCCTAGTGGTTCAAGTGTCCACTTGTCTCGCCTAAGACCAGGGTTCAATTCCCCACATCAATACAATGTGTGAAGACAGTGACCTCAGTTTTACACCGCTTTTAGCAATATTCCAGCAATATTCCAGCAATATCACAGCAGGAAGACACAAGAAATGGGCTTTACACATTGTACCCATGTCTTTGGCGTGACAAGTGGACTTCACTTTAACCACTAGGCTACCCCAGCCCCAGTTTGTCAACAAATATACTTGGCGATAATTGATATGCTTATAAAATAGCCATCAAACCAAGTGTTACAGTCAATCTATTGTAATTTGATGTCCAACGACCAATCAGAATGAGTATTTACCAAGGTCATGACGGAATCGTTTGTATTTGCCAGGATCTACTGAGCGTGAGTTCAGTGTTGGGTCAGGGGTCAAACTGCACAAGCACCTGTGAGGCTCTCCACATGTGCACCCACTCAATACAACAGGTAAGTGCCTATCTCATTAAAGTGCCTATATTTCTTACAGCTGAACAAAGACTGAGGATGGGTCATACAAAAACAACTTTCTGACTGGATGAGGAAAGAGTGAGTGAGTGAGTTTAGTTTTACGCCGCACTCAGCAATATTCCCGCTATATGGCGGCGGTCTGTTAGTCGCCTCTTACGTCATGCATGGGTTACTGAAGGCCAATATTCTAACCCGGACCTTCACGGGTCGGATGAGGAAAGAGACGGTCAAAATGTGTTTGCTGAGTATTTGACATTGAAGTTGTCATCAATATATAGTTATCCAAACAACAGAAAGTTCCTGATTCAATTAAAATCATTGTCTATCTCTTGCTGCATTGCGATAAACATTTGAAATGGAAGTGAATTTCCACAAATATATTACTTTTTGTTGAAATCTGACCCATAATGTATCCAAATTGGATTGTTTTTGTACATAGAGCCATAAATATGCAAGAGGAAGTCTATATATATTGTTTCATATATTGACAAAGTATTTTTCCTAGTTATTTTCAATTATCTCTGTTTCATATATTGCCCATGAAGCATAAACAAACACACTTACCAGTCTGTTTAGTCTAGTGGTTAAAGCGTTAAATTTCGTCAAAGACCGGGTTTGATTCCATGAAGCATAAAATGTGTGAAACACATTTCTTGTCCCCCGCCAGTCTGAAACTGAAAAAGTTCCATCCTAAAACAAAAGTTAGCTTTGTCACACTGAAATATTTCATGAGGGCTTTGTCTTTATATATATGAGGGGTAGATTTACCCCCCTCTGATTGGCCCCTTGGTCACATTACAGCTTTGACGCTTTGACAACCTCGGCACGTCACGAGAGGTTGATATAACAATTGAAGCACCTCCCGTGGCTAGAAATAAATTTGGGATATTCCACCTGTGAACTCCACACTGTGTCAGTGTTCAGTACTTTCGTCATGTAATAAAACAATTACAGTGGAAGCCCTCTAAACCAGCATGCGTTGGGACTGGCAAAAGATGCCGGTATAGAGGGCGTGCCGGTTTAGAGAAGTTTTCCCTTTTCAACCTCAGAATGACTCTTCCCTATGCCGTAAAATACGACTGAACAACGTGTTGATAGTCATCATATTCTTTATTCATCAATAAAGATAACATCAAAAATACATGTATATGACACAAATGTAGGTGTTCAGTACAGCTTCCAGTACAGTTACGTTATAATTCATAACTCCAAAGTTTCAAGTCCGAAACTGTTTGCCAGCCAATATGGTATTTAAGTGAAAGATCTTTTTGAGAAGGCCGAGGAATTACATCAAAATATTTTATCAGCTGAATTTTCTGTTCAAGAGTTAATTCCAATCTAGCCCACTTGACTGGTCTAGCCATCATGACACGGTGAGGGACTGACAAATTGTGACCCGACAATTTATTTATAATAGAAGTGACACGTGTCACTCATCAATTTACCTCACCTACTTATCCATATTCCTTTTATCGGCAACATCAATGAGCTTAATGCCGATGGTAATCCACTGTGTTGTTAATACACGTTCAGCCAATCAACCAATCAACAGGAGAGCAGAGATACCGATTTAGAGAGCGTTAATTACTGTACAAACAGTCAATTGGGCGGCATTTGTTGTGCCGAAATACGGAATAGATTGACGCCGGATTAGAGAGCGTGTAAATGATCATAAATTACCTAGCTTCTGCCAGGACCAAATTCTAGTGCCGATATTGAGGGCATGCCGGATTGGAGGGCTGCCGGTTTATATGGCTTCCACTCAATTTCCTTCAGTTCGGCTTTGCCTCAGTGAATATCACATGTCCAAGGTGGATAAATCATTGCATCAACCTCACTAGAAGTCAATAATTGTATGATATCTCAGCATCATCTATGTAATCTATATTTTATTATATTTTCATTATCTGTAGAATCCATCCAAATGGAAGATGAGCCAAGAGATGATCGTTGATATAATTGAGGATGTGGTGCAACTACTGGGTGGACCTGGAGTTGTCTCCCCTCTCTCCTATGTCATGTCTGCCCTCTCTGATGTGACGGTGCTCATCAAGGCAGGGTACAAGGCGTGTCAGAAAGGTAAACATGATGCTTGTGCATGATGTTACAAAAGCTTTCTTAACCCAGTGTAGATCTAGTTTAGAATTGATCTTCAGCAACCCATGATGTTTGTTTGTTTTTTATCCCCCGCAACGCGTTTTGCGGGGGGTATTAAAATGGACTCCGTCCGTCGCGTGCGTCCGTGCGTGCGTGCGTGCGTCCGTCCGTCCGTCCGTCCGTGCACATTTGTCTTTTCCGGAGCAGAACTCTAAAACCGTTCACTATTTCTTCACCAAACTTGGCACATACATGGATCTGGTGGTGTACTGGTGCCTTTAGGTAGTTTTGGAATTCTGAATTAAATATGTTTGGCGTTTCCATGGCAACAAGTTCGACTTTGACTGAAATTGGTGGTAGTGCTCTTTTCCGGGCAGAACTCTAAAACCGTTCATTATTTCATCACCAAACTTGGCACATAGATAGATCTGGTGGTGTACTGGTGCCTTTTGGTAGTTTTGGAATTCTGAATAAAATATTTTTGGCGTTTCCATGGCAACAAGTTCGACTTTGACTGAAATTGTGGTAGTGCTCTTTTCCGGAGCAGAACTCTAAAACCGTTCACTATTTCTTCACCAAACTTGGCACATAGATAGATCTGGTGGTGTACTGGTGCCTTTTGGTAGTTTTGGAATTCTGAATAAAATATTTTTGTCATTTCCATGGCAACAAGTTTGACTTAGACTGAAATTGGTGATAGTGCTCCTTTCTGGAGCAGAACTTTCAAAACCTTTCAATACTCTCCTTCCACTTTTCTATATACACACCTAAATATTTGACATAATCACAACTCATAGACATAATCATGAAGAGTATTTTGCCATTGCGGGGGATATTGATGACTTTGTCTTCTTGTTTGGTTTGTTTGTTGTTGAGGCTGCAGTCAGCAATATTCCAGATATATGGCGGCAGTCTGTAAATAATCGAATCTGGACCAGACAATCCAGTGATCAACATCATGAGCATGGATCTACACTGTTGGGAGACAATGACATGTGTCAACCAAGTCATTAGTTCTGTCAGCCTCTTACAAACATGGCATTTCTGGTGTCCCCTGCCATGATGTTGCTGGAATATTGCTAAAAGCGGTCTAAACCAAACTCAGTCAGTCAGTCAGTCTTACAAACATGGGTTCCTGAAGACCATTTCACTGGTCTCAGAATCAGTACACTGTTAATCATTAATCAACCCTATAATCCCCTATTTACTTCACCTTGTGTACTTTGCAGGCTTCATTTGTTAACGCTTTCATCTAAGCCCTTGGGTTGTTATTGTGTCTGGCTTCCAGCCCTTGTGTCGTTATTGTGTCTGGCTTCCTATTTCCCATTGTACTGTACAAACATCTGCTCTAACTTGTATATATGCTCCTTTATCCTTATGCTGATCATCACTTGCTTGATAACAGTGTTAGAACCTACACTGAAATGTCGCTCTCACAGCAATAAAGAAGTTGTTCATCCATATATTGTCATCCTTCCTCAGGACACTGTGTCTCATAAACTGCTGCATGGTGTTTCAGCAAACTAGCGCTCACACACACATCACTTACCACATGCACACACATGCGCGCGTGCGCACACACGCACACGTATGTATACATTTAGCTAATCAAGTTCAGTAATCTTGACCTTGATAACTTCACCTCACTTCAAAAGGTTTGGTAAAATAAATTTTCTATTGAAACATTAGGTCTAAAACTAGCACATGAATGGAGTCAATTCCATGACAACCTATGACATGGGTTTTACAGAGTTGAAGGTCTCCGGAAGCAGGCATGCTCCACTACGCCCCGTGAAGAAGGGTCTCTTCATGGCCGAGAAGAAGGTGGAGTTTATCCTGAGCTGGGCTCATCGATATGGCATGGCAGCTCGAGACCTGATCCCCGAGTTGAGACTGGAGTTTGGTAGGTCTGAGGAATATAATGTAGTATGTAGCAGGGGCGGATACAGCTTTTTGAGAAAGGGGGGGTGCACACTATTGAGAAAAGGAGGGGTGCACACTTCATTTTCACCCGAGTTTCAATGGTCATTTAACAAACTTTCAGCACAAAAGGGAGAGTGCGCACCCCTGCACCCCCCTCTGGTTCCGCCTATGTGTAGTTAGGTGGAAATATTTCCTCATGATGCAAGGTTTAGGATCTGTCTAATTTTGGTAGCCTATGTTTTAATATGTGCCATTCTAATCACATTTGAATCAGATCTTTACACTGATATGATATGGGCAGTGGGGTAGCCTTATGGTTATAGTGTTTGCTCACTGCACCAAGGACCTGGGTTTGAATTAGGGCCGAGATGGGTCCAAATTTTCTACCCGTGTACCGTACTCCCTATTACCCTACCCTACCTGGATACCCATTATGTTAATTCCTGACATCAAATTTGCAAGAAATGGCAATATATTCTTCAGCTAGGAGGCCAACATTTCAAGTTTTTCAAAATCTTAACCATGTATTATATTCAAAAGAAGTGACTGTAAATTATGTCTAAATCTTTAAAGACAAAGACCTTTTAATCATGAAAGAATAACATATTGCATTGTTTAATGTATTGGTCACATGATCATAACGGGTCCGGGTATTGAGATGGGTACCCCGGTCCAACTCATTACCCACCCGCCCTGGGTATCCGGGTTACCTGTCCCCGCCTTAGTTTGAATGCCGAATTGGGTACTATATGTCTAACCCATTTCTTGAGTCTGCCTGCTGTAATATTGATGGATTATTATCCAGGGTAATAATAATCAGATTCTGATTAAGCGCCGCAAGCAATCACTTGGTGTTTGGAGACTGTGCTATAGAAGATGACTTATTATATTTTTAATTTTTAAACTTATCTATCTCACTATTTGCACTTCCTCTCTTGCTTCGACGCTGAGTGGAACGAATGAGAACTGAGAGCACATGCTAAGCCAGGGACTAGGGACCTGTCCTATAAAGAGAGCAGCCTGGGGAACACGGGCGTATGGACAAGAGAGGCCTACAGGAAAAGTTCTCATTCGTTCCACTCAGCGTCGAAGCAAGAGATAGAAGTGCAAATCGTGAGATAGGATAAGTATATAAATATACAATTTACAGTCAAATCCCGATGAGTCGAATGCCTGTGTCTCGAATATTATGCATAACTTGAAGTACCTGTCGGTCCCGACCATTCCCTGTTATAGTTGTCATCATTTGAATACCGGTTACACGAATTCGTCTCATAAATACACATGATGACTCGAAAAGGAAAGTTGGTCCCATGAGATTCAAACAACAGCAATCTTGTATACATAAGCCGAAGTCAGTCAATGAGAAGTTGATTGGTGTAGCAAACTGACCCAATTAACAAACCAGCGTCTCACACCTTTCCGCCATTGACGGGTGAGTTCAAAAGGCAGATTAGTGATTTTACGGAAATCACTGTCTGTGCTAATCAGACTGGAACTGATAAGGTGCCCCTATTAGTGATATGGAAATCATTAGATAAACAAATGCTTAGGCGGAGGAATTAGGACTGGATCATCTTTTTTTCTACCCTCATAGACATACCTATGTCTCGAATACATGGATAAGTTGAATTTATTACTTGGTCCCCAGCGATTCGACTCATCGGGATTTATCTGTATATTAAAATTTCCAATTATTGCTATAAGCAGTTTAAATCTATACTCTCACTGAAATCTCACATGTAGATAGGACACCTCTTTAGATGGTTTCGGCAGATAAACATTCTTATCAGCCAATGGCGTTCAGGCTTCTAAATTTTCTGCATGTTTAGAGCAAAGCATTAAGACATTTGTTTCTGATGTTTGTGGTGGAAAAAAAGATGTTGAAAACCAAGGGTTTTTTAGTTTTAAAAATTAATTGTCACCATTTTCAGGTATCACTATCAGATCAAACAATGACAGTGTCAATGATTCGATCCCTGTTTCGGGCTGCATTAGGATCATGGGTTTGTCAGCACCAAAAGCTAACTGTCCTTATTGCCATTTCAAAATACAAAATGTCTGCTCAATGAGCAACCTCATCCTGCATAAAGCCAAAGAGATGACAAGACTTCATGGATGATCATCTTCTTTATTTTGACAATGGCGATGTTTCGGTATAGATTCTTATACCGTTTTCAAGCATGTGGGGGTTCATATCATTTATGTTATCTTAGCTCATCATCATCTATTGTAGCGCATCATGTAACTTTCTTTGATGATTTGTCTTCCCACACTTGTCATTGTATTCTCATTACCTTGTAATGTATCTTATCTTGTATATAAACTGGTGTTCCACGTCATTCTTCCATATGCTTGAAAACGGTGAAGGAATCTATACCAAAACGTTGCCATTGTCAAAATAAAGAAGTTCACCAGCCATTAAGTCTCAGGGGTTCAAAAATCCCATCGGCCGACGCCCGGGACAAGTCAGTTTTCATTTCGGGCAATCAAATAATAGTATCTTACTTGTCCGTGGGCTACTAAATAATTTCCACTTATGGTTTCAAACTGCAAATAAACTTGGATTTTATTTCATATCTGCTCAAATTTAGCTATTAAATTTCGCAATGATAATAAAGTAGAGTTATCTTTCTTTGCTAGTTATCACTTTTCAATAAATAGTCCAGTAAACATTAACATCAAATACCATGTTGATTTCTTCTTTCATAATTACATCATCATAATTACGTCATAAAATCAGGGCAAGTGGAAAATTATTCAGGACAAGTTACTTTCTTAAAGTCACTTGCCCTGTGGCAAGTGGCTTTTTAAAAAAGATTTGAACCCCTGAAGTCTTGTGATCTCTATACCACCAACTTCTAGACTGTCACTCAAACAAATCATAAAGCCAGAGGTGTAAACGTCCAATATGTCCATCACTTACCTCCCATGTTGGGGTGACTCTGTATGATGTAGTTTAAAGTGGTGTAAAAGACTACACAATTGTTTCATGAACCGTATTTCCTCTTTTAGAGACCTGCATCTGTTCTGTTTATTGGCCACTCTGTGTGAACTCACTGCTTTACCAGATGCTTCATTCTGTGGTCATATTAGGGTAGCCTAGCGGTTAAAGTATTCACTCGTTACGCCAAAGGCCCGAGTTTGATTTCCCATATGGGTACAATGTGTGAAGCCCATTTCTGGTGTCCCCCGTCGTGATTTTGCTGGAATATTACCAAAAGTGACCACAAAACATACTCGCTCACTTTTTCATAGACCTGTCATCTTTCAAATTTATCTGAACTGAGTGATTGCCCTGGGACAATCCGAAGTTGGTTTGTATTGGCTAGTAGTAGAGGAAGTATGGTAAATTGTTTGGATTTGTTGTGTGTTTTTTTCATTCAGGATATATATCGTGATCTCCAACTGTTTCTATGGTTACAGAACTTCAGAGAACCGCCATCACATCTGTAAACGAGACGAAGAAACAGTTTGAGACTGCATGGGGTGGCAAACGTCCTCAGCCGAGCAAAACTCTGATACAGGAGATCTCATAACAGTGATAAAAGCTTGCTGAAGTAATCCATGGGTCATTTTACTCAAACAAGGATAATCAACATCTCTTTTAGGTGACAGGGGTCATGAAGATAAATAATCCCATCATGTCTAGAAACCAATGAAGAGGATCTTGAGGATGCTATTTATCCCTCCATCTTTGCAGGAAGATATGCTTCATATTGACTCTAGGGCAGTGGGGTAGCCTAATGGTGTCCGCTCGTCATGCCAAAGGCCCGGGTTCGATTCCCCATATGTGTACAATGTGTGAAGCCCATTTCTGGTGTTCCCCTTGTGATATGGCTGGAATATTGCTGAAAGAGGCGTAAACTCACTCATATTGACCCTAAAAGGGATCTGATGATGATGATGACATCAATGACGACAAGGTGATGATGATGATGATGATAACTTTTATGTTTAATGACTGTCTAATGGGGATGTGATGATGATGACGACAATGATGATGATAGTGATAATGACATTTATTTTTATTGACTCTAGCTAAAGGGGATATGATGATGGCTGTGATGATGATGATGATGATGATGATGATGATGATGACCTGTATTTTTTGCATATATTTTCCGATTGTAGCAAGTAACCCCGATCTGACAGGAACTGGAAAATTGGATTTTCACAAAATCATGTCAGAATACAACTTAACAAGCAAAATATTTTATTAGTATTCCCTCAGAGAAACAACAATCCTTCAACTGTTATATTGATTCTCTTCAAACATAAAATCACCAGTAGAATACCAACTTTCCAGGTCCTGCAGCGGAAACTGTATCAATATTATATTATTTCAAAATGTCAGTTTAAAACTGGAATATTTTTTACATTTATTACAATCATTTTTTCTTCCCTTTATCTATTGCTTAATGGAATCACTTTGTCAATTTAACATCGGTTGTCAAAATGTTAACTAGAAATGTATATATGAAATGAAACAAAATATAAAATTATACAAAAAAGATCAGTGCGTATTCAAAATACATTATCGGGGCGGTGGGGTAGCCTAGTGGTTAAAGTGTTGGCTCTTCACGCCGAAGATACAGGTTAGATTCCCCACAGGGGTACAATGTTTGAAGCCCATTTCTGGTCTCGCCCTCTTAGATATTGCTGGAATATTGCTAAAAGCGGCCTAAAACTAAACACACTCACTCACTCAAAGTACACTATCAACTCCCTGAGGAGTATACAACAAGGTGCAAGAATATTTTGCATCTCCTTCTGCCAGGTACCATTTACTGCTGAGCGACCAGAGAGCAACTCACACCCTGTAACATATCTTATATTTGGGATTACACTTTCTCATTCTGTTACTTTTGGTAGGCACCTAATCGCCAGCACCCACAGTCAGCAATCTAACCTACTGACCCACCATAGCTTCCACCAGTCGAATACCAAATATAACATGTTACATTTGATCACTGTCTAAATGGCATTGTGTATTCACAACTAACGCAATCCTGCACTGTGTGTCTCTCAGTTAAACCTGTACCTCAGCAGCTGACCAGAGAGATGTGACAGATGTAACATAGCCTTGTGGTTAAAGCGTTCGTTCATCACACTGAGGACCAAGGTTCGATTCCCCACATGGGTACAATGTGTGAAGCCCCTTTCTGATGTCCCCCACCGTGATATTGTTTGAATATTGCTAAAAGAGTCATATAACTGAACTCACTTGCTCGCTAATGTGCTTGGTGCTGGACATTTCGGGGAATAATAATCACTAGTTGACATGTAGTCAGTATTTCCTGCTTATCTAAATATCTATGTTAATTATGGCATGGTATTTCAGAGGGCTAGCATAATTAATTTGTCATTGATCTAGATTACAACAGTCATGCATGCATTCATGAACACAGGCACAAATGTGTGCACACACAAACACACACACATCACTCACTCACTCACCCACCCAGGTGTGCGTCCTACTACACTAGATACACTATCAACAGCACAGAACAGTTCTTAAGAGTTCACTGGACACAAACACACACCTAACACTACAAACACTTCTAAGCCCACTAACCGCCTCCGTGGTGTAGTGGTTAAAGTGGTGTAGTGGTTAAAGCGTCTGCCCGAGAGGTCGCGGGTTCGATCCCCGACCGCGTCATACCAAAAGACATTAACATATGGTACTTGTTGGTCCCTGCCTGGCGCTCGGCATTAATGGGTACAACAAGGACTGGTCGGCTTCGGAGTCAGTATAATGTGTCTGAGTGGGGTATTCATGCTTCACTGCAGCATGGTATCTCAGTGGGCTAGCACTATAAAACCAGCTTCAGTCTGGGCTAGTACAAGCAGCCGCACACACACATACACACGCATGCACGTCGTCATATGAGCGAAATATTCTCAAGCACAACGTTAAACCCAATTTCACCTCACCTCACCTCTAAGCCCACTAAATAATACCCAAACCTTAAAAGCCTTAGGTATAACTCTCATCAACACTGACCTTCAAGTTCGCATATAATCCCATATAACCAGATAGTACTACTTTCAAAAATACAAAAACAAACAAAAATAAGCAAAACAAGTACCAACTACACAATTCCATAGTTCATCCCCACTTTGACCAAAATTCATTTAAGCATGCAACACTAACGCATTTCGTCAAATTCAACTCAAACGCGTTGCACACCCGTGTCACATGCGTGTTACACGCGTTCAAGGGAAATGAACTTTTAGGCAGTAGTGTAGGTGTGAAGTAGCCTAGTGGTTAAAGCGTTTGTTCATCACGCGGAAGGCCCAGGTTCGATTCCCCACATAGGTACAATGTGTAAAGCTCATTTCTGGTGTCCCCCGCCATGATGTTGCTGGAATATTGCAGCGTAAAACCATACTCACTCACTGTAACTTCAAATTAGTGAGTGAGTTTAGTTTTATGCCGCACTCAGCAATATCCCAGCTATATGGCGTCGGTCTGTAAATAATCGAGTCTGCACCAGACAATCCAGTGATCAACAGCATGAGCATCGATCTGTGCAATTGGGAACCGATGACATGTGTCAACCAAGTCAGTGAGCCTGACCACGCGATCCCGTTAGTGGCCTCTTTCCACAAGCATGTGTTGCTGAAGATCAATATTCTAACAGGACCTTCACGGGTCAACTTAAAATTAGTAAGAAACAACACAAATTACGAGTGGGGTCTAGCATTATACCTTCAAATTAGTGTACCTTCTCATGGTGTAACTCAAAATTAAAATGTTGAGCATCAGATTCTGTCCCAACTGAAGATTTTTTTATAAGATTTTGAACAGCAAACGGTTTCATAGTGTTGTCCCTCTTCGGTTGTTTTTTTGACAGTTAACTATTTATAAAAAAATAGGAGGAAAGTGAAAGTGACATTAATTGATTAAGTTTATTCAAACAGTTTACCAATTGATGTATAAGCCAAAGTATCGGCAGCTTAATTTTTGTACAAAATTCTCCCAAAACATTACAATTACGTAGATTGATGCTCATGCTGTTCACTGGATTGTCTGGCCCACACTCCAGACTGCCGCCATATAGCAATATAGGAATATTGCTGGGTGCGGCGTAAAACTAAACTCACTCACTCACTCTTCAGATAGAATTCTGTGATGTTACAGCTTTAAATCGACCGATGACGTTTTTCTGCGTTGGCACGACTCGCTGACAGTTGCTGACAGACATTTTGGTAATGGACCTCTCTCCTCCTTAATTGGTTAGGTTTTATCTTGAATATGAACCGGCATTCTTCCAATAGTTCTTTCGTTGAACGTGTCCTTGGTCCGGTGAATATGGAGCCTCTGTCTGGAGGGGAGGGGAGGTCGAGGGTCGAACCCCTGGTCTCGTCGTACTCAAAGACGTTGAAAGATGTACTCTTCGTTACCGGACCCGTAAAGATCTGAGCTAGAATTGGTCTTCAGTAACACGTGCTTGTCCTAAGACAGTTGCAAAAAAAGGCTGGGCAAGCTCTCAATACTAACTAAATATAAAGCTTTGCACGAGCTTAGGGACCGTTCATAATTTATGGCTAGGGTGGCATGGGTGGGTGAGAATGATTTTAAGTGGGGGTCACCCATTTTGTTCTGGGAGATAGGGTGTCAGCAATTTTGTACACACGTACTAGGGGGTCAGCAATTTTGTACATAAAAATATGTTTAAAATTATGCTTAGAAATTATGGGGAGGGGAGGGGGGTTCATTGATTTTGTACATGACATGCAAGGGGGGTCACTTATTTTGTACATGAATTTTAAGGGGGGGGGGGGCATTCACATAGTACATTCTTCTCCATAAAAATCATCACCGCCACCCCTAGCCATAAATTATGAACGGTCCCTTAAACGAAAAAAATGGCTTGCTACGCGCCTGTTAGAGACATACTGACGGGACAGGGTGGTGAGGCTCCCTGACTTGGATGACACATGTCAATGTAACCCAGTTGTGGAGATGCTGTTGATCACTGGATTGTCTGGTCCTGACTCGATTATATACAGCCCGCCGCCATATAGATGGAATATTGCTGAGTGTGGCGTTAAACAACAAACAAAACTTTGTTACCGTAAAGGGGTTTAGGGGGGGGACCCAACGCTCTGAGCCAGTATTTATTTGTCTGACATGCACAAAATGGCTCACAGACACACACACACATGCGCTGTGTTGGAGAGAGGGTCCACGATTTGATACCTTGCATGATCCCGTCATAAGGCCGATGTTTATTTTAATTTGTTCCCATGGTTACAAAGTCAACATCAAAGGTATACAGTAACAACAAATACAGAAAAGGTGAAGATACATGCTGTAAAGATGTAATTATAATTAGTTCCTGAATACTGGGATGAGTGAATTCCATTTTTGATTGAATTTTTCAATTTCATTGTTTCTTTTTGAAATAATTTTTTAAGATATCTCTTTTAATACCTTTTTATAATTAACGATTTTTGGAATTGTTTTATTAATATTACATAATTTGATATTGTTTTGGCAGATAATGATTTGATTTCGTAATATATCATTATGTAATGTTGCCAATTAAATCAAATATTTTGTAATGTTTATTTTTCGTGGTAGTAGTTAATCCAGAGTTCTAGGCCATTCCAGAATTTTATGGTTTCACAACATTAACAAAAAACATGACAAATGCTCTCAGAAACGTCATTTCAAAACTACATAAATCATTGTCAATCAGTTTCATTTTCAATAATTCTTGTTTAGACACCTTGTTGCCGTGCCTCGCGTGGTTCACTGGGTATAAAACAATAAGGCTCTGAGTCAGTATTTATTGTGTCAAGGTCATGTACAATGACAAACG